CAAATCTTTTTTTTAGTTTAAAATCATATTGAGAAGAATGTAGGTTCATGCTAGAGATCAGGCAGGAAACAAAAGTTCAAGTAAGAGTAAAACGGTGGTGGGTGCATGAAAAGAAAGAAAGCTCACAAGTATGTGGCAAAAGAAGTCAATGAGGCCACAAAGAAATGAACATTCTGGTGCTTCCTTTGACATTGTTTAGATGCATCCTCGAATTATCTTATTCCTCCACTTTTCTGGGATTGTATAAGAATGTCAGTTGTTGGCTAATCTTCTGTTCATTAGTGCTCTATGGTGCCGTGTAGTCATATAAATAGGATAGAATCTGAAGTCTTATGTGCTATCTGTAGGTTGGAAAGCTTGAAGAAGCTGTGTTATATGGCAGGAGTGAATTTGAAAAATTCTATAAGTTGGGAGACTATGATGATTTGGTCAAGGTACTGCAGGAAATTCTGTTAACCTTTTGTGGCTGTGTTTACTGAATAGCGTTGTATTAATAGGAGCATCCTCACTAACATGTGTTGGACATTGTGAAAAAGGGTATATAATGTTTTCCCATTTGCATAAATCTGTTCATTGTAGTACTGAGCTAATGGATTCAATTATCGTATCCTCATAAAATTTGTATATTACATCATGGAGATTTCAGAAGTACACTTCTAATTTCAAACTATGTAGAGCAGTAAAATTTTCGTCAAAAACATCTTTAGGTTTTCTCCTTCCATATGATCCAGCACACAAGCAGGGACTGTTATCAGCAGTTTCCTCAGTCCTTTCCTATACTTCTATCCAACCAGCAGCAAAAGAGTTCATTCATAGTCATCACCATTACCCAGCTCACCTCAAATATATTCAGAAAAGGCTTGGAGCTCTGGATAACAGAACCTCCTTGATTGCCTTGGTCTTTTTATGCCCTTTCCTATCCCTCTTTTTGTTACTTAGGTAATGATCCCCTTTCTGTTTTTTCAAAACATTGTATCACTCATGACAAAGATGATACCAGCATGTTGCCTAAAATTATTACTCATACATTTTGATGCTAATCTGCTGGAATCTGAATTCGCAAGATTATCTCCCCAAATAAAGCCTAAGATGTCTTTAGATCGAAGCTGCATTCTAGTATCTCTCTATGATTAATACAGTTTGCATTGGTGTCTAGATGATATTGGATTATCAGGGTTTAACATTGTTGAAGAGTATGAAATGCTAATGCTTCCAGCTCGAAGTAGATAGGAAAGATAACAGAAAGACCTGGCTTCAGACTGCCAAAAGTTTTTAGGTGGTCAAGTGTGCTTCATCGAGTTACCCTTCGGGGTGGCCCAGTGGTTTGGGCTTGGGACTTCCATGTTGGAGGTCTCAAGTTCGAAATCCCTTGCCAGCGAAAGCAAGGAGTTTGCTTCTGGGTCGAGCTCGTTGCACCGGGCTTGCCTAGTGCGGGTTACCTCTCCTATGTGGTTTGCGAGCTATTGCATAGGAGCGGGGGTTTTACCCTATGCGCACCCAAAGGGTAGCGGCTGCGGGTTACCCTTGTCATCCAAAAAAAAATAAAAAAAATTCAGAAAAGATTTCAAAATTTCCTTTGTTAGGTTCTGTATGATTATTCTAGAATATCATTGATATAATATATAACTTAATTTCAGATGGCATACCCCAAATAGTTTGTTGGTTGGGAACCAATCTCTCAACCAAGTATACCTGCCAGCACTTGAATTCCAGTCATCGCATTTACTGAAAATGATAGGTTCTTCCTCCACTTTACATGTTGTCTAGACACACCTTCAAAAACAGTTAAGATTAAGCTTTAGGTGCCTTAATTGCTCCACCTTAGTATCACATAACACCAAAGAAGCATCCACATAAAGTAAATTTCATAGTTCCATACTACCACTATTATTTGAACTTTTTGAACCTCCTTACCCATCCTCGTTGATTGACAAGCTTTATCATCCCGTTGAGCCCTTCCATTCCATAACAATAAGGAAATAAAAAGGTGACGAAGGATCTCCTTCTCCAAGTCTCCTTTGAGAGGGAAAGAAGCTATCATGTTTCCTACGTTTATTGTGGATTATATAACTAATAGTATGTTTCCTACCAATATTCCAACAAAGTCTTCTTTGCCTTGCTTTGTACTGTCCAGCACCGTCTTCTTTTCATGATCCAGAAGCTCAATAGTTACTCTTACCATAAAATGTGTTAATTTTACAATGCAGGGAATGTTTAAGCTAGACATATTACGTCTTTGCATCTAATGTTATCTTGAGCAAATATTTGTTCTTACTGTTTCTCTTTGTCTATATCATCATAGGATTGTGCTGCTCTACTGGCATATGAACAACCACAGAAATCCTCTGTTGGGTATCTTCTAGGAGATTCACAGCGAGAAATTGTGGCTGATGCTGTCAATGCAATGGTATTGTCAACGAATCCGAGTGTTAAAAATTCAAGAGAGTGCTTACATTCACGTCTTGACAGGCTACTCAGGCAGTTAAGTGCTTGCTTCTTGGCGAAGAGAACGTTTAATGGGGATCAGGGTGAAGGTTTCCATCTTCATAGAATACTTAATAGTGGTAGGAAAAGCTGAGAGGTAGTCTTGGTTTGCATTCCCATCACTCCCAACCCATGTATATGCTTCACTCATCCAATGTCTTTCATGTCACGATCCAAGAGGAAATGCCTCTCGGTGACCAGCACACGTGCTGTGTAGAGTTGTTATGTACTTTCTTGATTTGTAGTAGTCATTCATTTTCTTGATTACTGGGTTGTCTTCGTTTCATACCCCCTACGACAGTAAACCTTATATAGTTCGTGCACATTGAATGGTCAGATTCTATACTTGGGGGTATAATGCTATCCGAGGTTCAATCGGATAGCTTTTGTACAGATTCATTTTTCAAGTTCAGTAGATTGTTGTTTTTGTGTATGCTGGTCTTTCTTGTTACACAACTCTTTGGAAATCATTATTGTTTGTTGAAAGAAAGAAAACAGATTGGTAGCGTTGTTTCTTTGCTTAGAAAAGTGTTTAAGACTGGAGGAATTTTAAGAACCCAAACAGTAAGAAAAAAAAGAAAAGGTAAATTGTGCTTAAAATCATTTGTATATAGTTTTTAGATAATTCTTTTGGGAGGTGAGGTGGGTGTGTACGGTGGCGGTGAAGATGAATGTGTTTAAGGGTGCGAAGGACACAATTAATGCGCAATGCTACTTGTGAAACATGAGTTGTTTTTCTATAGGTCTGTGCACCCCTCTCCCTTTATGAAAAAAAGAAGATTATTTTAGTTAAGAGTTTATTGAAAATAGTTCTTTCTATTCTGCAAAGGTAGGAGTATAGTCTATATTTATTTTTTGGAACACTTAAATATAATAATGTTAATCCCATTTTTCTAAAAGCATTTAAATTTCTTGTGTAATAAAAATCTCTCACAAATGAAAAATTTTCATCTAACTACCAATCTTACTAGTCATGTGATGGATTAGTATCTTTCTACCCATAACTAGAGAATATTCAGAATTTGAATCCTTAAGAATATTTTTTTTTATTGAAAGCCCCTTTAAATAGGCCCTATAATACGCAAATGGCCTAATGAGATGCAATGCATTATGTAACAAAAAGAAAAAAAAAACGTTATCTGATCAAGTAATTTTGTGTTGGGAGATGAATTGTGCGAGTACAAATTTAATCGGGTAATACAAATATCTAACACCGTGTAAAATACCAAAAAAAAGTAAATTTAAGTTAATTTTTAAGTGGAAGAATAAATTAAACAAACTAAAATAAAAGTGATAAATTTCCATAACACAGGTAGGTGG